CACACACACACACACACCGAGGCCATTTGTAAGAAGGCCTGCAGGACTAAGTTGACAAATGATTCATCAGTTGAACAAGATATGAATACTAAACAATACCTTGGAGTCACAAGAACTGGCTTATGACAAAAGGAGTGAATGTAGCCATTAATTGTGGGCTTACTGTTCATCAACAGTCGGTTCTTTGGTCAATAAGAAAGAGTGTCATATGTGGTGGAAGTGCTGCAAAGACAACAATGCAAATGCCTTATCACTGACGGCGTGAAACCAACTGACTGATAAAAAAAATCTCAGAGCCACATAGCGTCATTTGCATCAAAACTTCCCCTTGTTTGCCCCTCCTACACCTGCCTGTGTGGGCTACAGAGTACATGATGTCAGCTACAACCTCTCTTCCTCCTTTCAACGTGATAACAAACTGTGTCACAAACCTTGAAGCCCTGTTGACTGTAACATAGTAAACCCTGGCAAAACAGGACTATCCAGCTACCAAGAACTCAAAAGTGACATCTTAGAAAATCCCACAAAAGCAGGCTAGCCTACAGACACACTACGCAGACAAACAGCTGCAAGGGCCAAGATCCTCTGTCTCCACTCCTCCGTCACGTTGGTTTGTTGGAAATGTAACCATGGTGACCTGTTAGGCTGAGGGGGTGGTGCACTTGTGACAGCGGCAGATGTAGGAGGAGAGGGCACGGGAGGGGACCGGGGATTGGTTACCTACCTTTTCACCACCAGACTGAGGGTCTTGTGGGAGCCTTTCACTAGGCAGATTGCCTCCTGTCTGTAGCCACTGAGGGGAATCTCGTTGATGTTGACAAGCTCGTCTCCCACCTGGAGACTCACAGCTGCCGCCTTGCTGCCCTCCTCAACCTGGAACATAAACACAGCAGATGAAAAACAGAGAATTAAACGCAGAATTTAACAGAGATACGGACATGTTTCCGAAGCCAACTTCTGCCAACAAGCAAGCTAGTTAGTGATTGAGTTGCCATGATACAGGACTTTGTGACAATGGCATCAAGCTCTGTTTCCATAACAATAATATATTAAGCCTCTGGATCAAACTTAGGAAGTGCTGCGCAAGAGTAAACTTAGGATATAACATGCTACAAAGAGAGTCAAATGTTAGCTGACTTGAGTAGCGGGAGCTAATTTATCTTACTAACACTGCACACAGTTTGATATTAACACAAACGTTTTATTTCACAGCAGTTTGCTGGCCTTGCATTTGACCACATAGAGAACATACAGTTTATAAGTGTGTGCCAAAAGACTTCTTATGTCCAAGAGGTTCCCACCAGTGCTTTAAAAGAGATTAGGTAACCTCACACGGTCTAACCTTGGTGCTACTTACTGCTTCTCAGTACTTTATAACTTATGATAAGCAAAACCCAGTTGTTTATTTTAGGTTGTAAGCCTATCATGGTGCCGATTCTTCTAATGTGGACTTCTGATTCCTGTCTTGTTTTCATCCCTCCACACATACATAAAAAAACTAAATATACAAAGTCCCTAATGTGTATTGATGAGACAAGAAAACAGAACCTGTAGTATTTGGATCCATTTTGTCATCTATTACAGAGCATCTTCAGAACAGGAAACAGTTAACAGAAAAACCTACTGTATATAAAACTTTTTTAGTACGCTGTAAATGCTACTTGCTATGCTATCTTGATCTCATAGCTAAATATGTTCTCATATATGAATTTATATAAGAAACTATAACTTGGACTCATGGCAGTCGAGTTATCAAAACCAAGGGGAGCATAATTATATAGAAAAAATGCTAAAGGGATATGTGAAAAACATGCATCAACATGCAGTCTCTTGTTGACACACTGTTTACCAAAGTTAACAGCAGGAAGGTCAGTTTCTAGGTAAAGGATCAAACGCTATAAAAATACATCAAAAAGCTGCTGTCCAAGCCAGTGGCATGATGTAAAAACAAACCATATTGTGTTTGTTTGAGGGCAGACACCTGGAATAACACATCTGTCAAAGGGAAGTACAGTGAAGTCAGCAACTGCTTGTGTATCTCCAGAGAAGACCCACAGAATATAAGATATCGAACTGACAGAACCACAGCTACAGTGAAAGGTGTCTGAAGCGTCAGATATGCGTTAAGGTCAGTGCTGTCCTCACACTGACACAGAGAGTCAGCTAAAAGTCAGCGAGACAGCACGGCTCAAGTGTGGAGAGAAAAGCAGCGAGAACTCTCCATGGCAGTTGGCACATTAACGCACAAAAGCCAAACTCTGCAGCTGATTATCAGTTCTCCACTCAACCTGTGAGAGGGGGCTGTATGACCTCACTAGAGAGGTATGTGTACATTTACAGACCATTACGTGTTATACGGCCTTTATCCTCAGCACAGAGAACCAGAGCCCACACAGCTCTAATCAAAGCCCGTTTTCATTTTTCTTCAATACTAATTTTAAAGCAGGGTTAAGGCAGGGCGCACTGAGGATTTTTATGATGCCTGGCTAGACTCCTGAGCTCGTCCTGATATGGTAATGTATTTTGTAGAGAAACTGAATCACAGACTGATGCATTTACAGTAGTTAGTGTTTGAGGTGGACACAAACTGAACTGACACAAAACACACACACACAGTTTTACTTCTTGTCTTCACCAGACTTACCCTTTACGCATTGTGGGGAAATTCAAACTTTGTCATATACAATCAGGTTTACAGTTTTACAATACTCAGAGATGGACTAAGTTTCACCTGGTTATATGGAATAATAAAATATAAAATTGTATAAAAAAGGAGAGCGTGTAAGTTGTCTAGAATAAAGAGACAGGAATGGTGTAACTGTAGCTTCAAAGATTCAAAGAAAATCAACAATAGTTCATGAGTACAAAGGAGAAAGTATAAACTAAACTGATTAGTACAACTGAGGCAGAAACGTCCTTTAAACACATTTATCTCGGCCTAAGAAAGACCACAATGCTCAGTCCAAAAACTGATGACTGTGCGGTACTAATTGTTTTCTACAAACTGTTCGTGCAAACAAATGAACTTCAAAATAAACAACTTGTCAGGACATCTGTAAGACAGCCTAGGACTACACAGTAGTCTGGCTTTTATTCCACAAACCTAACAGGAGGCGTGGCTCCACAAGAAGAACATATTTTAAGAATGTAAATAAAAACAACAAAAAGGGTAAAGTTGCAGCATAAAAGAAAAGAGAAGGGAAAATACAAGGTGTTTACACACACAACATCAAAGCAGGAGATTCATTCATACTACTTTGCCAAGCATCGTTCACCATGGCAGCCCAATCAGCGTGAGCCATACCACGTCCTTTGTTTACCATCTTCCTCCAGGCTATAATCAGTCAAACTGCAGCCATCCTGGATGCCTGAGTAGCCGCAAAAATAGCCTCATGTCTGTCTGTGGGACATGAAGGGAAGGATGTGGTGGCCATGAGGGTAAGGAATGTGTCTTTTCTGCTGACAGATGTCCTGTGTAGCTTGCTGACAGGGCACTGAACTCGACCTCTTGTTTGGTTTTAGGCACTGCCTGCACCTTTAATTGACACCGTTCATTGCTGTTTGACAAGACACCAGCAACCACATAAACAAACTTGCCCAAATTTGACCTTTGCATAGCTTGTTTCTTTGGCAATGACATTTGGTACGGACATTCAGCCTCAGGGTAAACTTGAACCACTTTGGTACTTAAAAAGGTCCAGTGTGTAACATTAAGGGGGATCTGTTGGCAGAAATGGAATATTATATTCATAGGTGTGTTTTCATTAGTGTATTAGTTGAGTTAACTCAACTTCTGGACCAAAGAGGATTCATTCAACAGGATTATGGCTTATGGATTATGGATTAAAGATTTCGAATGATTATTGATTATGCAGAGAAGGAGTAAATCAGTGTGTGACAGAAATCACTGAAAGCTGGGGTCAAATACTTTTTAAAATTTGCACTCATCTGTAGTCAGACTGAAACGATAATTTGGCTTACTGCATTTCTTCTAAGCAAAGTTCTTAACTTTGAGCCTGAAAACTGTCCTAACATTAAAAGTAAGGCATTTACAATAACAACGTTTTATATCTTACTTTAATGTTATTGGTATTTACATCCAAGAGCACACACTGACCCATTCCTTCTCTGCCTAATCAATAATAATTCTGAATCTTGAACTTTTGCCTTAATAAATAATGTTTATTAAGGTTGTTGTTCTCTATGAATCATCTTTGGTCCAGAAGTTGAGCAATCCTAAAACATTCAAATCAAACCCACAATGTTGTCACACAAAGGATTCAATAATTGGTAAAACCTGTTTACCTGCAGGTGATTTATCACAGCGTGTAAGAACAGAGACATTTTTGCAATGTTTCTGGTTCTTTAACAGCAAACAATATGTTGTTCCATATAAAACTTGATCCTGGCAGAGGAAACATATGTACGAGGTGTATCCCCAGCTGTGTTTTGTAAAACAGGATTATATAAGTTTATTGAAACTGAGGACTTTAAGTCCATGAAGACCTTGAGCATAACCTGAGCTATGAGTGGAATGTTAAGAATTTTAATTAGATCCAGGATTTTTTAAAACCTCTCATCAAACTGTGGGCCGTTTGGTTTTTTATTACCTTTCATTTTACCAATTGCAGAGAATTCACAAAAAACTGCCAACAAGATCATTAATTGAGGCCCCCCCTGTGTTTCTCAGGTTAACAGATACAATTCAGACGCACCTGTCAAAACAGCACAGAGGGCTCAATTTTCACTACTCACACTAAAACAGAAAGACGTGAAAATAATGACGACAAAGGACAAAGAAGCCAAGCAGATTACTAAAGACATGTTTAGTCGGACAGTAAGTAACGTAGACTGTGGCTGAAGTAGCTGTACGAAACAAAATTCTTCATAAGTGCTGCTGTGTTACATGGTTGAGCAGTGAGTCAGGGAACTGATTTTAATAGTTTTTAGCAGCCTGACATGTCCCAGAGGAACAGAGTACGTACAGCATTGTTAAATACAAAATGGTCTTATTTTGATGGATCAGATCAAGTCTAACAACTATTATGAGCAGATCTTAGCGCCTGCATCACTGTACTCCTACCTGTTCAGACAGGATTATATGTTCAACTGAAAACCTCATACAAAAAATGCGGCAGAAAAAAACAAAGTGCATCAGGTAGTGAATACAGGCTTACATGCATACTTTGTCTGCATGTCCACGTATTTATGTCACCAGACAGACAAATGTTGGGAATGAGAGGCCTCAAACTATTTTTAAGAAGACAGTGGTTTGTAGACACACCGTAGACGTTGCTATAATATAAGGTTAGTTTGTAAGATAAATAGTAGGCTTACCTGCATCTTTATCTAGTTATCACAAATAATTCAACAAGATAACTTTGTAAATCATTGGCCATAATCTGAGAGCCACTCCAAAGGAGCACAAATCACTAATCCTAACTTTACTTATCCCATCAGACCATTCCAACAGGCTTCAGGCTGTCACAGATAATTCACTACATTTAGAAAATCAAACAAAGCTCCAACATTCCTCCCTTGCTCCTGGTACCACAGGCTACCCTCCAAACAAAATTTTAACACAGCACAAAAATATGAGAGCGCAAAGGTCCAGATGGGATTTAATAACACACACCATAGGCTAAGTGGCAGCAAACTAAACTTTGAAGCATTTCGAGACAGTTTGACAAACAGATGTTAAGTCTAGTCCATGGCCAATTTACTTTATGAGATTACTAAAAAAGTGCCAGGCAGGAAGGCTCTGGAAAAACTTTTTAAAATGATTTTAAGGGTCGCGATTACACAGGTGAAAAGAGTAAAGGCTCCTCAAAATGTTCTGAGGAAGTAACATCTCACCATCAGAGGCAAAGAGGTCCACTTTGGTTGGTCCTTGGAGGAAGGATGAGACAAAACATTAACAATGAAATGCCGTCAATATCAAACCGAAGAACCGCAGTCCAACTGGGCAATGGTTCACCGCACACAATTCAGCAATGTGACCACGCCATCTAATCTTACAGCTTAAAGACTTAAAATGCTCAGAATTTGAATTGCATTCCTGTAAAACCTACGTTAATTGGGTGATGGTGATCCTAACTGTATCGCTCTAAGCCCATATGGTGCCTTAAATCCTGAGTTTCGTCCATCAGAGTTGGACTTTGGACCGCTTTTGGGTCAATACAGAAACGAATCCTGCAGGGACACAGCTCCCGACAAACAGGTGCTGGTATGTTACCATTTCAAATTAACTAGCAAGGTCTTTTGTAGTAAATCATTACACAGTCAACAGAGAAGTGAGCTTACAGTGTGGTTTCAGAGCTGATTGGGCTGCACTGTGTTTAGGTACTCTCCCTCTCCTGGGCACTGTATGCATATTGTGGCTCACATCACTCATGTAGAAAAGTCGTGGCATACAAGAATAACAAGCTGACAGCTATAGTGCATGTTCTGTTCAATGTTCATTTTTTGGAGAGACTCGATATAAAATACTGACTTTAGAGCCAAAATGTACCGAATGAACACTGACTGATGAAAGACTGCACAGATCACACTTCAAAGGAGACAGGTCGCTCTCTTCATAGAGCGGCTTCATGCCCAAATGCATGTGTGAATTTCAAAGACGGACAACTGCCCTGAAACAAGAAGAAGAGTCTACAGCCATGCTAGCGGCTCTTTGAGGCACAGTGGGGCTTTATGCTAAATGCTACTGCCAGCATGCTAACATGCTCACCAGGGCAATACTAAGACGCTGATGTTCAGCAGCTATAATGTTTACTATGTTTACAATCTTAGCTCATACATGTTAGCATGTTTGCATACATTCGCATATTTTACTGAATGAGTGAAAACTTTGACCTGCTGGTGGCGCTAGAGGAAAAATCAGGTAATCACCAAAGTCAGTAGGCTTCTCTGTGGGCCATGAATATCTGTAGAAAATGTCATGGCAATCCATCCAGTATTTGTTGAGATATTTTATTACGTTGGGTCTGGATCCATTTTATGCTGCCAGCCTGGTTAATAACAAGAAGTACTGTGTGCTCACAATATCCAACTCTGTCTGATATCATCTCCTCTCCTCTGCTATATTTGATTGTATTTGCTCGTATCAGACAAGACAAATGTACAGCAACATGTAGCAGTGATGTGTCAGATGTCTTTGTGTTTCGTTAGATAACTATTAAAATTTGAATTTCAACTGGTCTGGGCCAGTGCTAACAAAAGAGTGCAAACATACACACTGAGTAATATTCAGTGTTGCCAGACATCATCACTTGTGCCATCATGATAAAGGTCCCATAAAATAGATTTAAAATCGTAATTAGTTTGACATCCTGTAATATGAAACATTAGGAGGGACTTCAAAAGCAGGTGGAACAACTGGACAGTTGTACACTGACAGCAAAATACACCCCTTTGACCTGTTTCTGGTGCTGATGGTCAATAAATTGGTAAACCTACACATTTTAAAGGGTAACTACACCCTCAAGCTGTGCTATAACTCTTTCTCCCAGCATATTTTAAAAAATGCAACAGAGCAGTGAACGAGCAAAGACTGCAGGAGACCACATGGCTACACAGTGTGTGACTTGAAGGGTCAGGGGACACCGACTGACCACCGGTCAGTGTAGCATGGACAGCCATGTACTGTAAAGCTGGTAGTCAGAACTAACCAGCCATGAGAAGCTACTCTCAGACTCTGTGTCTATGATGCAGGTGGAGCTTTGGCAGTCACTAGAAACACATTTGTGTCCAGCGTGGCTATGGGGGAGTGTCAGTCCATACAGCAGTCATGGCCTTGCTGTTTATCACAGTTAATTATCCTGTTAAATATCTTGTTAAGCTCTGTATATAGCACACTTATTGATGGGTCCATGTGTTGTTTTTACAATAATGCAAGTACATACACCCTCTGAATGAACAGCACTGTTTTTCAGCCTGCGCTTATCAGGCTTGCTAATGCTAACGTCACCAGCAGCTATGTGAGAAGCACAAATTGGGGCTATGGTGCCAAATCCAAGCAGACACATACAAGCAGAGCAGAAAAGGCTACTTCAGTGATTATGTGTACACTGCAAAAACTAGTTTAATGTGTAGTTCCTAATGTTTGGGTGGAATGCTGCAACTTCCACAATCTCATATTATTGTATACGCTCTTAGTGCAAGGAGTTATCATAAAATCTACACTTTACACTCTGAATGACTTTTTTTTAAATTGATAAGATTTTGATATAGCCTAAAAAAAAAGTCAGTAAAAAGGTATTTCTGCTCGTCTAAGTCCTGCTCTCCAACCAGCAAACTGAAACACACCACCTCCATTTTCAGCTATCCTTGGCATAATAAGAGATTTGTGGAGTATTTACCTTGGTGATGAGCAGAGGTTCTCGGTGCTCCAGTCCCCCTCTGAGTGTAAATCCCCAGGGTGCTCCTCCAGAAAGAAACACATCCACCAGCTTCCAGCCCTCACCATCTCTGCTCCTTGGATCCAGATCTCCGGATTTCTGCATCACATGCCAAAGGCTCTCTGCTTCTGTATAGTGTGGCTCACTTTTATATCCCTCAGTATCCATGGTACTGTTATCAAAGTAAAAAAAGACAACATGAAAACATGACCAGGCACAAAATTATGTTAAGCACTAAAATATGTAAATGTTTACATTTAAAAAAGGATTAATTTTGGTCCCAATCTACTCTTCATATATTAAATAAATACTGGCAGTACCCAATCTGTAAGCATGTTCTGCTCCCGTGTTATGCTGATGACACCCCGCTGTAACTCCCTCTGCAATCTACTGTCCAAACTGCCTTGCAAGAGCAGACAGCTACAGCTAGATCTTCACTGGTACTAAAGAACAAGACAACATTACCCCCACTTCAACATCGTTACTCCGGTTGACTTGATAGTTCTAGAAATGATCGATATTTTACTGATCACTTTCACAGCTCAGCATGGTCTGGCCACATGTTATACTGCTGATCTTTTAAGCCTTCCTGAACCTGAGCGTGACCTGAAAAGACTACTGGCTGTTCTATAATCTAGAATAAATAACGCTAACTGAGCCTTTGCCAGCGGCTGGAGAAGCCAAAAAAAACATTTTAGACTCTGGAAAATGTTCAATTGTAAATTAATATATAATATTCTCTTCTATCCTGTTAAAAGTCTCTTGATACATTTTAAAAGTTTGTACAGCTGACCTCATTTTGGACCATGTGTTTTTTATTTACTTTATTTACTTCAATTCCCTTTCGTTGTTTTAGTGAAACACTTTTTAAGACAATTGTGTTTTGTCTTTACAGGCCGATATTGTATTAGATAATAAATTGCTGTATCATTTGTTTGATGCCTAAAATAATGCAGCTTCGGCATTAATTAAATACAAAATGTAAAAGAGTATACACATACATTACTTTAAAAACACAAATGTAAAGTCATAATTAAGCAAAGCAAAGCAAAACTTTTACAGAATGTTGTTTATATTAATTTGGTCAAAACTAAATTCAAATCTACATGTATGGCTCTTACTAACTTTAATGGTTTATTAATGGCCTGTTGTCTTTTACATGGTGTAGGATTCAACTGGCATCACTGACAGTAGTGTTTATATTTCCAACACAATAGGAAAGGGAACAGAGCAGGTCTGTGCTGAGTAATACAGTAAGTTCTTATTCAAACATGGCAGCACCATTACATCAAGCAAAACCTGACACAAAAACTAACAAAAAATGATGAAATATGAGGTCACCATTGGGCAGAATAACAGTATCACTGAATGTACCTTTATTCTGGCAGGAAGCTAAAAGCCTATGTAGGATCATACATGAGGAGTGGGAGAGCCTTTGGGATAAAGTTACAATTAATTATTTCTTCCCTAAAAAGTATATTGTATACTTTTTTTAAATATTCTTAACAAATTAAATACAATTTCAACAGAAAAGTCTCTCACGACAAGAATTCCGCATTATTTCGGCCAGCAAGTCAGATTTGATTCCGTTTATTTAACATAAGATAACATTATATATGTAAGATTTAACCTTTCCATAGATTAACGACTTTCGTGGTTTTAATGGCTGGACTAAAACTGAAATTACATATGTGTGGTTAATTTGAAAGCAAGTCCCTTTAAAGACATGAAACAATGGTGTGGATGTTGAGCTCTGTCTTGCCTCAGTCTCTGTATGCGATAAAATGCATCATTGTGTCTCTAGTTTAGGGAATCTGTAACTCCGTAAACACCTGTTGTCACACTGCAGACAGGCTGACTTCAACTTAATGCTCTTATGTGTGAGATAATTCAACACAGCAACAATGTCGGACAGCACAATGGACACCATCTTCGCCTGTGCCAATAAATAAGCTGAGTTAAACGGACTTGTTTAAGGAGGAAACCGAATCTCCGTGTGAAACAAGCACTTTTCCATTAAATTAACTTACTACTCGACTCCGTGAGGTCCATAGCTTTTTAAAAAACAATGACAAAACTCCGCTCAAACGTTTGACCTTACCTGGAAAATGCAACTTCTGGATAAACCGGTGAACACGAACAAGGCTTCCTCGGGGTGGCACGCAGCTATATCCCAGGTTTACGTTACACATACTTCATCTTTTGTAACCGTTTTACCTTCAGAAGAATCACTTTTTGATGAAGCGCTAGTTGTGTTGGACACGCTGAGGGTTCCCACTGTTTTCCAACGCAGCACTTCAGTCCGTACCCTACTTCATGATTCAAACCGAGACACACTGACACACTCAGGAGAGTTTAAATGAGCTAAGCTAACCTAGCTCCCATCCATGGACAACAGGGAGAACAAGTGCAGGAAAACACAGCGCAAGCGTGCCATCTACCGTCAGTGAGGTCAGACTTCCCTCTGCAGGCGTTGTCCTGCGTTATGTTACAGAAAAAGTTATATTCTGACGCCAGAGCTGAGACTTTAAACGCTACTTTATGGTGAGGTGAGCCGCAGCTAACCGCAGCTAGCGTTAATTCAGCTAACTGTTCACTTTAGACAAACTTTAGAATTTCGAAGGGAACGCGTACGTTTCCATGACAACCTGTCGGGTTAAGACAGGGTACGCAGGAGGGCCAAACTTAACCGATTCGCGGAAGTGGTTGAGTGGTGGGACGTCATCAGCTATCACTGTAGTTTTTACTTTCAAACTATTAGAAAACTGGCGTAAAAACGGAGTCATTCATCGTTAGGGCATGTTAAAGAACTTCTTTTAAGTTTGTTTTCAAAACATTTAAAGCATGTTTCAGAACTGGGGAACCTGGCTTGGAATAGAAACCGAAAATGGCCAAGTTAAACAAGAAAGCGAGTCTGTTGTTGATGTTGATGAACACCAAAACCATGACATGAATAAGCCGACTGCTGGGGCTGGAGGTGAGCAGAGCAGCGCTGTGGAGGACGATGCTCAACCGCCTCAACTCCTCCAGACAGCGAAGAGCTTCAGCGGTCAGTGTGGTCACAGCTCACAGAGCAGCACAGTGTGTAGTAGCTGTAGGATCCGTGTAACCTCAGTCATGTCTGCTTCTTTGCAGGTTACATTTATAATTTCGCCAGCAGTGCTTCAAAGAAACTGTCCGAGTCCGTCGTTGAAACGGCACAAACCCTGAAGAAAAGTGTGGAGGAGGGGAAGATCAATGGGATTATTGATAAGGTGGATATTGGTTTAAATGACTTCATCTCCTTCCTTGTTCTAATGAAGTCTGGCCTGTTTAAGTTAATGATACACTGTCTTCCCTCAGACCATTTTGGGTGATTTCCAGAAAGAACAAGAAAGGTTTGTTCAGGAGAAAAAAGGGAAAAGTTCTGGTAAGTGCTGAACTGTATGTTATACTCAGTATTCAATACATGTGAGTCCATTACATCACATTAGTAACTGCAGGCTGGTGCTCTTTGTTCCCAGGTGCTGCTGTGCCTCCATGGGTTGGGTACAACGAAGAGGACACCATTCAGCAACAGATTTTAGCTCTCTCAGCGGTGAGTATTACTCCTTACTAAATGTTTCTGTTAATACAGAAGAAATAGTGTGTCATCAGTATAATTAAAGAAGTATGTTCAGTTTGTGTCTTTATTTTATATTTTTTAGTTTAGTTTATTTCGGTAATTTCCACATACACAACTCAAATCTACGACTTTGTTCATAGAAAGCCCAAGGTGACGTCCTAAACATTCAGTTAACTGTCATAGAGGACTAAAGAAACCAGAAGATATTCACGTTTGAGAAGCTGAAATCAGAAGATTTTGACATTTGTTCTTGAAAACTGACCACTACCCCCACTGACTCTGAAACCCACCACCCACCCTGAATATATGCGTTGCGTTAATTCACTGTCCTCGGATATGTCACACTGCTAACTTGCAGATCCCCTGGTCAATTTTTTTGCACATTTCTGTAGAGCTCTTCACTTGTTTATTTAAGTATCTGGCCATATTGTACATGTTCTCTCTTTATATTTGTATATATTGGCTCCTTTTATTGTCTCTGTTTTTATCTTTATTTATATTTGTGTAATTGTTATGCACTAATTTACAAAGGCAATTGTATCAATTGTATCATGCAATTGAAAACCTACATGGAAATAAACCTGATTCTGATTCTTGTAGCTCTTTTCTGTGTAAAAATGAGATTTTCGATTGTTTTGTGTGTTTTTCCTCAAACCTTCACATTTGTTGACAGGACAAAAGAAATTTTTTGCGAGATCCTCCTGCTGGGGTGCAATTTCACTTTGACTGTGAGCAAATGTATCCAGTCGCCATGGTGATGCTGGAGGAAGACGAGCTCCTTCGGAAGATGCGCTTCCATCTGGTTCCCAAACAGTGAGAGTGTTTTGACACACACATACTACTTTGTCCTGTGTTTTTATTATGTGCATCCCTGCATAACAGTGGGTTTATTAACACTGTTTAAATATGTTTGCACTCCATATCTCTCACTTGCATACTGCACATAGTGTATATATTTTTAATTATAGTCTTTGTATTTTGTATTTTCTATTATATCATTATAATATTTTTACACTCTGTAAATTTCCCCTATGCTGCTGTGTCAAATTTGAATTTCTCCCACGGGGGATCAATTAAGGATCTTCTATCTTATCTTATTAAAAACTAAAATATTTTACTCCACCACAGAGTTGACTGCATATTCCTCTATGTCATTCATTTTAGGGTGAAAGAGGAAGCCTTCTGGAAGAATTACTTCTACCGTGTGTCCTTAATAAAACAGTCAGCTCAGCTCACAGCTTTAGCAGCACAGCAAGCTGCGGAGCGCAGAGACGTGCAGAAAACTGACACCAGTCCTGAGGCTGGTCATCACAAGGGTAAAACTATAATGCCTGTCTTTAATCTTAATTTTCTTGTCAGTGGAAAAACAAATAATTAATTTCACTGACACAAATAGAGATTTAGCCAAATATTGTGTGGTAAAGTGAGTTAACATTAGGAAATGTTTTGTGATATAATCTGCTTCATACCAATGTTAATACCACAAACATATGGGAGTGACTGATATGATAAAGTATGACTATCAGTTTATTTTTTTCTTTGAGTATACTTGAGAGATCTTGTCAAAAATGATCTTCGCAGATGCAGTGAAAATGAAAACTCCCGCTGCCATCCACACTACGAAACCAAAGTCAAGTGAGGTAGGCCACCTTACTACAAAGAATAAAATACCCCAAAAAAAGATTTTTCACCGTAAATCAGTAATTGGACCAAAATGAGTGCCGTTGGTGGCTCTGACCTCCTTCTGCTTCTGTTATGAAAGGATGAAGAGGAGATCTCCACCAGCCCGCCTGTGTCTGAATTTGTGAGTGATGCTTTTGACTCATGCAAGATAAATGAGGACGACCTACGCAAAGAAATGGAGCAGCTGGTTCTGGACAAGAAGGGACATCCAAACACACAGCAGGGTGAGTTCTTTTTTGTTGAATCGGGCTGCCATGTAATTAGTAGAGTTTATCAGAGTTCAAAGAGTGACTCAACATTGGGTTTTGCAGAGGAGACTGCTGACTGGGAGAGAGAGCTGCAGGAGGAACTTCAGGAGTACGACGTGTTGGATGATAATGAGAACCGTGATGACAACTGGGACAGGGAGATTGAAGAGATGCTAAAGGAGGACAGTTAGAGTACTCATACAAAGCTCCTCCAGTCGTAACTGTTCGATGGAGACCTTTAGCGACAGAAACAGCACATGACTACAGATTTAATGTTCCCACTGGAATGGCTCATTACAATATTGGTCCTCCAAGAACTCTCAGCACAGAGAAATAACACTGAACTTCATTAACATTTCAGTGTACTATTCCTGTGGCCTGGATAGTTTAAGGTTTTATGAGTGCATGTTTAGAGTCCTCCTGTTTAAAGGAAAAGGAGATATTGTCCTGCATCTCCAGTTCATAATGTGATAATGTGTACGCCTCCACAGACTGTAGACTTGGGAATTAACGACGATGTAACTTGCTGAATGGCTGCCACAAGTGTCAATTATAGGATAATGGTTAATGCTGAAAATACGGTTAAGCTGAAGCATAACAGTGGCACAAGTAAACAGGAGTCACAAACTCAGCAAACTGACTCAGCAATGTCTGTTACAATATCTGCCTAAAGTAATTGCTACCAATAACTAACACCAACCACCATAAGCTACTGGTCAAACCAGACCAAAGTAAACAGCGAGTATACTGAACTGAACAGGATTCAGTTTTTTTTCTTTTATTTGTGAATTGAATTGTTCATTTATAAGAGGAAGAATGTGCTGCGTCTTTCTAGTCTCACTTTCAAGATACATTTTAGGCACAAATACCATTATGATGATTTTAAGTTTATTCTCATGAAAACATTCAGATTAAGAGGCAGTGTAAGGCAGTGTGGCCCTGCTGTCTTTCTCGCCTTACTGATGCCAGTTGTCAGCTGCAGAAATACCATGAACTGAATAACATGAACCAAGTGAGGTGATATTTTAGACGATTTCATGTGACCAGTTAAGTTTATTTGTGGCTGTTTATGCTATGACTGAGCCAAACCTTTCATATAAATTGAAATGATGGTTATATGTGGCACCCCAATTAAATATAATTGCTTTTAAGAGTGCATAAGACATGGAATGTAATATTGTATTTCACACTTGTAATGGACCTTGGAGCTGTGTATTTTATCCAAATGATTAAAAGCACAATTGAACATATATAAATTCTGACTTTAAAGGTCCTGTGTGTAAGATTTAGGGGCTCTATTTGTAGGATTTGGGAGAAATGGAATATAATATTATATGTTTTTATTTGTGTATAATCACCTGAAAATAAGAAGGAATAATTCCTTTATGTCTACAGAGAGCACAGGTCCTCATCCACAGACTCTGCCATGTTGAACCACCATGTTTTCTTTCTACAGTATACCAGAATGGAAAAAATGCCTTAGATAGGGTGTTTCATGTTTTTCGCTGCCACCATAGTTTCTAGTGTTTATACTTACTGTAAATGCAAACCTCAGTATATTGTTTTTTAATTTTTTTTACCCTTTAACCTTAGCATTTATTACTATCTAAAATGTTTTATTATGCTAATGCATGTGATTCTATTGAAGTCCCCCTCCCCTCAGAAATCAGTGTTTCTTCTTGTTCCTACAATGTGATGTTTGAATGCTGT